CAAGATTTCTTCCATAAAATTTAAATAGCTAAAACAGAGTCCAAAGTTTTTGAAAGCATTTTTCTACCAAGTGGTTGATTCAGGTAGAAGTTGACTGAGCTGCATAATTGTGCATCATTGTCATCTTTTGGCTCCTGCAAGATATGCAAGTCACAATTGATCTTAGCAATGCCCTATATTGGGGGGTGTGTGTTTGAATTCAAAAAAGTTATATGATAAACTCTTGCTCAAAAACCAAACCTGCATCCAGAAGAAAAACTTCCTATCATCTGTATGAAATTTCAAAATATAAACCCTCCCAGCTGACTGATTAACCTGAATAGTTCAACAACAAAGAAGATCAACCATGTGAATTTTCAACATGATTACTGGGGAAAAACTACTATACACAAGACTTGATAATTACCTTTTCAAAAACAGCCTCCTCTGGAAAAATAATCTGATCCTAATGTTATCTTTTGTCAAGGAATACAACTTCCAGGACAACTCAATTAGTAATGAGGAGCAATTTGGTTATTATTTATCAATGGAAAAGGAAGCACCGAGTACTATCTAATAGAATCACTTTTCACTTCTGCAAAGATTTTAAAGGATGAAGGATACATCTTCAACAACATTAAGAGAACGATCCAACCATTGAAAATGAACAAGTCCTTCCTCACCCTTAAAATCAAAAGACAAGGCAACATGTTTAAGAACAATGGATGATACTACCTTACAAAAGCTTGTTTTCAGCAATGAAAAAGACAAGGGAAGATTTGATGCACATGTCTTTCTAGTCTAGTAGAAAGAAACAAACAACAAAGTTTGAAATCCAATACCCTGCCTATACGAACAAGCCCTTTACGCGAGTCAGGGACAACTCGTTTTCCCTCCATTAGCATTTTGCCTGCTCTGAATTCAAGCAAAACTTCCTGCCACATATAATAGAAAAGAATGTCATCTTTACAAAATACTCTGCATGACTCAAAGCAATATACAACTTATACCTATTGAGGATAGAGAGAAAATAAATCTTTGAAGAATAGAAGTTGATGAGGAAGATATCACGGTCCTATGGCACTCAGCAGATTTTCTAATTAATATTACAATGAGGAGAAGACAGAAGATCCATCTAATTGGTGTCAACTAGAGTGGGATTAAGTTTTAGTTGAATTGAGGAGAGAAAGTATGCATAATTCCAAAGACTAAACAATGACAAACTAACCAGTTGGCCCACTGAGTTGAAAAGAATTTATGATAATAACAGACCACCAGATAAGAGCTATAGATGTTAAAATTTTGCTACCATATGTGACTAAATCTTTACAGCTTTCTCCAATTACACTTTTTTCCTGGTGTAGCAACTAGGAAAAGAACACAGGAATTAAATACACCAACACAAGTGAAAATATTCTACTTTCCATCATACAAGCTTCAATTATTATGCTACCCAAATGTAGAATTTACTCTCAACCAGAGCTCCATTGCACAAAAAATAATGAATAGACTCCCATTGCAGTATATATTGCAAAATTTTCATGGGAAAGCTACAAGTTGTAGATATTGTACAACACAAGCACACACAAGTATGTGTCACATCATGATCATTATCCACTTCTTGAATTCTACACCTCAATGTTCAATTGGGATCTAAGAGTATACATCTCTATAATCAAGAAGAAAATAATAACAGAACATGCACTTGTCCCCTAGTTGAACTGAGTGCCTTTTTTGTAAAACCCACGATAGAAAAATAACAGAAAGAAAGCAACCATACCTGAACTTGAGGAAAAGCATCCATCGATGAGGAATCTATAAGCAAAATCTCTGCCCACAAGTTTAATCTCCCCTCTCCGATCAAGCGGCTGAAAAATAATCAAAACATATATGAACTTAAAAGGGGGTGAAAGGAGAGCAGAAATATCAATTGATTCTTTACTACATACAAGTTGCTGGGTTAAACTATTATAGCTGGGTTGACGTGTAGAAGGAAAAAAAAAAAAAAAAAAAAAAGCTGCAAAACCCTAATTCAATAGCAGTATAATTTGAATAGATAACAACAATATATATTCTCTCTCCAAGTTACCTCTATGTGTACGATGGATGATATTTCAGGGCATCGGACGAATTATATTTCCGGCGTTCGGAATCGTATATTTCGTGCGTGGGGCCGGGGTCTGGGCTGGGTTTTGTGACCCGACCCAATTAAAATAATGGGCTCATGGCAAATCTGGACTAGACCCAAATTAGCAAACTTATATTATGGGCTCAGGCCCTTTCAGATAAATTAGGCAAATTATGTTGTGCAATCCTGTGCACCACGCATAGGGATAGTTATGCTGTGGGCTCGTGCCCAGCGTGCTTCATGCGCACGGATAATGGTGCCGTCAGGCACGTTATCTTCCCTTTTTTTTTTTTTTTTTTTTTAAATTTAATTTCAGACCGCTTCATTATAGGAGCATATATTCACAGCTTTGTGTTCATAATTTCATAACTGTACATTCATAATTCCATAACTGTACATTCATAATTCTATAACTGTACATTCATAATTTCGTAACTGTACATTCATAATTCAATAACTGTAAATTCATAATTTTCGAAGCTCTATGTTCATAATTGTAAGTTCATAATGTCAGAGTTCTATGTTCATAATTTCATAACTGTACATTCATAATTCCATAACTATACATTCATAATTCCATAACAGTACATTCATAATTCCATAACTGTACATTCATAATTTCATTCTGTATATTCATAATTCCATACCGAACATTCATAATTTTCGAAGCTCTATGTTCATAATTGTAAGTTCATAATTCCATAACTATACATTCATAATTCTATAACTGTACATTCATAATGTCATAACTGTATATTCATAATTTCATAACGAATATGACGTTAACGCCGTTAACGCCGTTTCGAACAAATTTTTTTTTTTAATTAAAACAGCGTCGTTTTCACGGAAAACGACGCCGTTTTAGCGCCGTGCGCACCTTAAGGTGCGCACGTGCGCATAGCATAATTTGCCCACGCATAGTGCACACGAAATTGAATTCATAATTTCTATAATATAGATTCATACTTATTGAACTCTATATTCACAATTACAAAAATCTATATTCATATTCTCAATTGTTGAACTCTGTATTCACAAATCACTGAACTATATGTTCATAATTTGATAACTATATAATTTAGAAATTATGAATCTATAGTATAGAAATTATGAATCAACCGTTTAAAAATTATGAATCTACAATATAGAAATTATGAATCTATAGTATAAAAATTATGAATTCTGTGTGCACCTTGTATGGTGCACACGGTTGCACAACATAACGCTCCGATAAATTATATGCTTCTCGCAAATTATTGTCCACACAGTTTACAGTGTTATGTGGATCATAACAAAAATTACATTTTTAATATACCAAATGTACATTATTTGTGTACTGAATGTACGTTATAATATAATGTACACTCAATACACAAATAATGTACATCCCTTAAATACAATGTACATTTTTAATGTACTAAAAATATATTATTTTTGTATTGAATGTACATTATTTTACAGTATACAAAATATGATCCACACAACTTGTGTGGACCATGACACACAATAATGATTGATATACTCTTGTTTCAAAATAATAATAATACAAATGCATATATTCTCATTTACTCGTGACTAGTCTTCAAGGCAGGAATAATGAGGTCCGACCCTCGAGTTTGAGATTCAAAGTTAACTCTCAACTTACTAAAATACAAAGAACCAATAAAGCCTCCAGTAAGACTTGAACTCACAACTTTCCAAATAGAAATTCAACGCGGGTACTATTAGGCCATATAGTCTTGGTATAATCCCTAATCCCTTAGTTATTAATAAGTATTAATTAAAATGAGTTTAATTTTCAACGTATTAATTAATAAGTTTTTTTTTTTTTTTGTAAGAATTGCGAACATATAACAAGTAATCGCTATAATGGGCTGTTTGGTTCACGGAATAGGCCTGGAATGGCATAGCATTCCCAGTAATAGACCTATTACTCTGTTTGGTAACCGGTCACTTGTATTCCCAGGAACATGGTTCCCGGGACTGACCTATTCCACTTGAATAGAGATTCCTGGGAGCCCCTGGTATTAAGCTATTCATGAGTTATCAAGAATAGCTTTAAGTTTCTATTTTTTATTTTACCCCCAATTAAATTTATTTCCTATTTCACCACCGCCACTACCACCACTACCACCATCATCGTCGCCAACACCACCACCGCCGCCAACACCATCGCCACAACCGCCGCCGCCGCCACCATCACATATTTTTATAAGGGTATTTATGTCTTTTAAAACATGCATATTTCATTTATATTCCTTAAATCAACCAAACACTGTAATTCCTAAAGTCTATTCCTTCCGCGAACCAAACAGTAGAATACAATTCATATTATATTTGATTCCTTATAAAATAGTATTCCTATTACCTCAAAATTCATTCCGTGATTTAAACGTGTTGTAAGTGTAACCGTTGATATATAAACATGTACTGAAATTTTAAATTTTAAAAGTGTATATTTAATAACTACAAGTCCATCGCATCATCATTACATATTAACATATTGCACGTAATTGTTGCAAGATGCAGTATAAATGATGAAAATTGGTGAGCAATTATAGTCCACATTCAGATTCAATCCAAAACTATATATATAGTATTTTGATGGGAATGTATAACTAGCGGAGGCAATTGTTGCCTCGATCGTCTCGTTTGTATTGTATGTTGTATATATAAGTTGGTAGACATATTATTTTAATGGAAAGTGGGAAGTAGTGAAGAGAAAGTTGGTAGGTGCATGGGGCAGAGCGCAAACATCTCATTAAACCATGCATTCAGATTCATTCATTCCCATGCATGCAGAAATTAGAGGACTGATACGTTGTCAACTTGACTTCCCCTTTACCCATTTCTCCCTTTTTTCCGGATCCTATTTTCCCCCTGGCCTCTCGCTCTCATCCAGTGTTAGGTCATCATCTCCGGCACACATTTCCGGCAAAAACTTTCCTTAAACTAATTTCTTTACCATTTCTCCTCCCGGCCTCATACACCTAGCTCAATTGTCTGGACAGCCCCTTCAAAGGGCGCGCGCACTTCCCCAAAGTGCGCGCTCTGATCTACTATACCACCGTATTATGTATCATGGCTCATCGCCGCCGCTCCCACCCCAATCTCTATTCTTATCCACCTCTACCAATTCTGCTCCTCGCCGCCGCCGCTATATTCCTCCTCTGCGCCTCCCCGTCGTCGTCGGCGAAATCCGAGACGGAGATCCTCCTCAAGTTCAAGGAATCGTTGGAGAATGCTGCCGAGTTATCCAGCTGGAATCCCTCCCAGCCTCCCTGCGAGGGAGAGCGCCATAACTGGGAAGGCGTCATGTGCGAAGACGGCAAAGTCCGCGGCCTCAATTTGAACGGGATGGGTTTGAAGGGAACCTTAGACGTGGAGTCCCTGGTGGAGTTGCCGGATCTCAGGGTTTTCGCCGTCATTGATAACAACTTCGAAGGCTCCTTGCCGGACTTCAACAAAATGGGAGCCGTGAAACACGTTTATCTGTCGCATAACAAGTTTTCCGGGGAGATTCCGAGCAATGGATTCCAGGGAATGAGCTCCTTGAAAAAGCTCCATTTGAACAATAATGGCTTCGTCGGCGCCATTCCCACCTCCTTGGCCACGTTGTCAAAGCTCATAGAATTGATGCTTGAGAACAATAAATTTGACGGCAGTTTACCAAATTTTAAGCAAGAGAGATTTACCATGGTAAATTTCTCCAACAATTTACTCGTGGGTGAAATCCCTCCTGCCCTCTCTAAGCTCAATGCTTCCTCGTTTCACGGTACACATACATATCCCCTTTTGTATGCATGTTCTTCATTCCTTCTAATTGTAAAATACATTTCTGTCAGTTAACCCAACCAAGTTAATCAGACTTTAAATTAAAACTGTCTATATATTGACACTATTGAATTTGAGTCAATCAACTATAGATAGTTTACCTCTTTGTGGTTACCCGGGGCACCCCTCAAGCTGTCATTAAAAGAATTTATTTACAAATAACATTTTCCCTATAGGAAACGCTGGTCTATGTGGAGCACCATTGAAACCATGCGACGTTCACCCCAAGTTATCTACCGGAACAAAAGCCGTCGTCGGGATGGCCTTAGCGGCGGCGCTGGTGGCGATCCTGTTGGTCATCATCATCCTCGCGAAGCGCAAGCCGGTGTCAGCGGCCGAGGAAGGAGCAGCAACGGCGCAAGTAGCCGCGGCCCAACGGAAAGCGCCACAAGATGAAATGGACAAGATAGAAAAAGGGTCAACGGCGTCGTCGAGTACGGCGGCCCGCTCAACCGCGCCTTCATCGGCGCCGCCGGCGGAAACCAGGAGAGCCGAGCAGAGCGTGAAACTGTCGTTCTTGATAGAGGACAGGGAGAAATTCGGGTTGCCGGACCTACTAAAGGCGTCGGCTGAGATATTGGGGAACGGCATATTTGGGGCGACTTACAAAGCTGCCCTTTCCACCGGCCCCGTCATGGTGGTTAAGAGATTTAAGCATATGAACATTGTCGGGAAAGAAGACTTCCATGAACATATGAGGAGGCTTGGCAGGTTGTCCAACCAGAATTTGCTTCCTGTTGTGGCTTTCTACTATAGGAAAGAAGAAAAGCTCTTGGTCTCCGACTTTGTTGACAATTGCAGCTTAGCTTTTCATCTCCATGGTATGTATATATATATAGAGAAAGTTTATATGCCCATTTGCACCGGATATAACTTATAATATGCATATATAGTTGCCCATATCACATATTCTAAAAACACTTAATTAACATAATTCTAGTCAAATTAGTGACTATTATCTCGATAATCACAAAGTTACAAGTTTAACTATGGAAACATGTGATGTATTGATCTTCTTAATTTGAGCCCGTGGTTAGTAATGGTTAGGCAACTTGTAATTTTTGCATAAAGTTGTGTTTATCCAATGCATAGCCTCAGATAGATAGTGGCTGCAAGTTTCTCTTAACTTTAATCACTGCTGGAAATTATGAAATTTTCGACCACCTAAAAGTGATTTGATATCAAGTCGAAAGCGAAAAATGGTCAGAAATAGCAACAAAGGTTTTTCCGGATACCAAAAGTGGTCGGAACAAGGCTTTCGACTTTTAAGATCACTGGTTGGAAATTCCATAATTTCCAGTAGTGAATTGTTATCTACTAGCTAAAATCACAAGATTGTGTTTATTCGGTGCATAGCCTCGCATAGTGACTGCAAGTTTCTCTTAACTTTCATTGTTATCTACTTATCTTTTGCCAGCTAATTAAAATCACAAGACTATGTTTATTCGGTGCATAGTCTCGAATAGTGACTGCAAATTTCTCTTAACTTTAATGTTATCTACTTGTCTTTTATCTGCTAAAATTACAAGACTGTGTTTATTCGGTGCATAGCATCAGACACCGAATAGTGGCTGCGGGTTTGCTTAACTTCAATTGTTATATATATTGTTGTTGACATGCATGTTGTTTATCTTGAAGGTAAAAACAGATCTGGAAGCTCTAGCCTGGACTGGCCCAAACGGTTGAAAGTTGTGAAAGGAGTAGCGAAAGGCATAGCCTATCTGTACACGGAGCTACCAAGCCTAACAGCGCCGCACGGCCACCTCAAGTCCACCAACGTCCTCCTCAATTCATCGCACGAGCCGCTGCTCAACGACTACGGATTACTGCCGGTGGTGAACCTGGAGCACGCCCAAGCGCACATGATCGCGTACAAGGCGCCGGAATTCCGGCAGGGCGGGAGAATCACGAAGAAGACCGACGTGTGGTCACTGGGGATACTGATTCTAGAAATCCTGACCGGAAAGTTCCCGGAAAAGTTCGCGCAACAAAGCAAGGGGAGCGAGGGCGACCTGGCTAGCTGGGTGGAGTCGGCCATCGGCGACGGCGAGGGGGCGGCGGAGGAGGTGTTTGATAAGGAGATTAAAAACGGGTGCCCAGAAGAAATGATGAAGCTGTTGAAGATAGGGATGAGTTGCTGTGAAGTGGATGTGGAGAAACGGTGGGACATAAAGCAGGCTGTGAAGAGCATTGAGGAAGTGAGGGAGAAATAATAATAATAATATAATAATAATCATAATCATAATCCATCTAGTGTCGTACACGTGTCACCTTAGTGCATGCATGTTGTTTCATGGGATGCGTTTGGTACTAAGAAAAAAAAAATACTAAGAATTGCTTTGTTTAATTAGAATTGAATTGAATTGAATTTCACCCCCAAAAAAAGGGATTTGGAATATTGATGCATGGAGGAAAAAGTTGAATAATTGTGAAGGAATTGAAGATCAGATGAGAGGTGCAGTGCGTATGTAGCAGCCGGAGTTCATTTGATTTTGGGTGACGGGATCGCGGAAGTTAAGGAAATCGAATTTTGGATCATAACTTCTACCAAACATGAAGATATATATGACATGATGGATAATTGAATTGGAATATGGTCAGTGTAATTGTGTTTTAGAATTTATAGTATATGTGCACTGTACACAATAATCGAGACATATTGATGCCTAATACATAATGAAAATTATATTAAGTTTTTAGCAAACAAATTAATGTATGTGCTATTATGATTATCGTAATTATATTATTATTATTATTATATTATAATAATAAAATAAAAGAAAAATAGTATTACTCACAGTTCACACACAAATTCTATTCTAATAATTAAATGATGACGTAAAAAATAATAATGAGAGGAATGAAAAACCCTAAACCTTTGAGGAAAAAAAATGAGAATTAAAAAATTATATTGAAGTAATGCAACCTAACTTCTAAATAAAATGAGCATCCATTGGGTGTTCCCCTTTCTTACTGATCCAAAAAATAAAATGAGTATTCATAGTAGTAATTTTTTATTTTTATTTTTTGTGATTTTTTAAATGCCACATAAGAGTGAGAAGATGAATGGAAAAAAAAAAAAACGGAATCTAACAATTCAAAAAAAAAAAAAAATAGCAAACAAATGCAAAGGTTTTTGAGTCAGAGTGGCCACCAGCTTGCGGCCACTCTAACGCGCCCCAGCGGGTACATGTTCCACACACTCCCACTTCGGGAGCGAAGTGCACTCCACTTGCGCACTTCTGACTTAAACAAAAAAAACAAACATCCCCTGCAAAAACTTTTTGCAAGAGTAAATTTTTTGAAAAAACTAACCTTCACATCAACCCAAAGTCAAATGCTAGTTTTTTACTTATGAAAAAACTGGAAAAACAAAAAAAAAAAAAAAAAAAAAAACCCCACATGTGTGGTTTATAAAATGTCATATCAAACAAAAAAGTACATTTATCGAATTAAACAAAGTTAAAATCCAAAAAAAAAAAAAAAAAAAAAAAAAAAAAAAAAAAAAAAAACAAACAAACAAACAAACAAAAAAAAAAAAAAAAAAAAAACACTTAGCCTCTATCTGACGCATTTATATGAAAAGTTAAATGAAGGTCAAATATGTATTATGTATAATACATCATTGGCTAATAACATTGTGGTCTAGTGTTATAAAGTGGCTCTCTCAAATGGAAGGTCATAAATTTGAGCTCTTTGTGTTTTAGTAGGTTGAGAAAGTAGTTATGAACACATACTATATTGTAACAGAGTCAGTAACACTAAAAAAAAAAAAGAGAAAATTTCAATTTTGGTCCACTGACTATTGGAGTTGTGTTAATTGCAACACTTGACTTTCAAAAATGTTAATTTAGTACCTTGACTATGCAATTTATATCAATTTTGGTCACGCCAGCCAAATCTCACCGAAAAATTTAATAGGTCAAATAATGAGGGTATTTTAGTCATTTTATCTATTTTCCTTCTTCTCCATGAGCTTATCCATTTCCGGCGACGTTATTCTCCATTTCCAGCGACGTTCTTCTCCGATTCTCTCTCCTGCTCTCTGTCTTCCATTTCCCTGAAAATACTGTGAATTGAACTATCAATCTTTACCAGCATGGGCTCTAGCAGCAATCGCTTAGGCATCAGGGGTTCTTTATCATCATCTTTGCCACCCAAAAGATCATCTGGCTTCGGTTCTTCTCAGTCAAGACCCAAGGCATCAAAGCACATACTGTCTTCTCTCATTTGTGGTACCTCCACTTCTTGTTCAACCCTCGAGGTATCATTTCTTCTATCATTACGAATGATACCCACCCGGTTGATTTTAATTTGGATGATTCAGATTGTTGAGGGGTTGATTTCGTTTTCTTTTTTTTCTTTTCCTGAATTTTTCGTGTTTCGCGAGAATTTTTGATTGTTTAATTGATGATGTCGGGTTTGCAGATTGAAATTTGAAACCCTTTTTAAGAGAATCGGAGAAGAACGTCGCCGGAAATGGAGAAGCTCATCTGAGAAGAAAGAAAATGGATAAAATGACTAAAATACCCTCATTATTTGACCTATTAAATTTTTCCGGTGAGATTTGACCGGCGTGACCAAAATTGATAGAAATTACATAGTCAAGATACTAAATTAACATTTTTGAAAGTCAAGTGTTGCAATTAGCACAACTCTAATAGTCAGTAGACCAAAATTAAAATTTTCTCAAAAAAAAAATGTATAATACATCAGTTTGTAAAACCCAACGTATAATACGTATATATACATATATTTAAAAGAAATTAATTCAATGCATATAATGTTGGTTCTACAAGAATCGAACTTATATGTACTTAAATTATTTTATTTAAAACTAAATTCTTTATTACACCAAATAGTGAAAAACTAGTAGATAATAAATTAACTAATTGAAATTAAAATGTTAAAAAAATATAATGAGATGTTACAATTTTGATTAATGAATAATACACTGTCTAAATTAATAATGATAAAAATACTTAAAAGATATTATTTTAGCTTAATTATAAGTTCATTGGAATATAGTAGAATTACATACATTTTTTAGAAAATTTCGATCACTACTAAAGAAATGCGTTTTTCAAGCATATGCCAACTAAATGTCAAACAATTTTAATAGAAACTCAACCCAAAAAAAAAAAAAAAAAAAAAAAAAAAAATCTAAAATTTAAGAGCGTACCTATCAATACATGTCTGTCAAAAGATTAAAAATAAGGCAAACATTGAAGGAACAGTGGAAGCTATGCACTTTTATTTAAAATGTCGATCTATGGGGCTCGTTTTAACCCATAAACTCTGAATTTTTCTTTAAAAAAAAAACCAAAAAAAAAACACATTTATGGGTTTGAATGAACTCGAAAGTATTTTTGCTGGGTTTGTTCAAACCTAGTAATTACATTTTTTTTTTTTTTTTTTTTGGTGTAGTTTAAACTCAAAACTCAAGTATTATTGGGAATGTTTTGAGTTGTTGTATAATATTTCATTAATTTTTTAGATGAACTGTTGTTTGTTAACAAACAGCATCATTGGCCAACAAAGTTTAAGTTGTCAACAATTAATTCTGTGATCTTATTTTTTTTATCGTACGGTGGCATGTCAACAAACATGGAAAAATTAAAAGTGAAATTTAAAGATTTATGGCATTTTAGTTGATTATTCCACATTTTGATTGTAGATTTAAGAGAGTAAAAATTTAATTTGAAAAAATATGTGCGCAGACTACTGAAAGGAATCACATATTGCTTTAAATTGGAGTGCAAAATCTGAATTTTCAATTTTACCTTTTATTTTAACACCAACTTAACGCCAAGTCGCCAAAGCTAACCGGATGACTATTTTGGTTTAAAATTTAAAAGTCGAAAGATCATTTTGGAGAAATTAAAAGTGAATGGACCAATTTGAGAAAAGGTCATAGCCGGAGGACCATTTTGAGAATTAACAACTTATCCATCATGATTTTTTTTTACAATGCTATAGTTGATATAGAATAATATTATTTAAAAATCTTATGTAACATTATTATTATTATTATTATTATTATTATTATTATTATTATTATTATTATTAGTAGTAGTAGTAGTATATTTTTATATTTTATATAGGAGTATTTATTTATATCTTTTTAAAAAAACATCTCACTTCTATTCTTTAAACCAACCAAACACGGTCTATTCATTATATGAATCAAACAATATAATACAATTCGTATCATATTATTCATTCGGTGAACCAAATATGTTGTTAATGCGTAATGGCGCCTTGGATCATCATATGTATTTTGGTATTCACCGCCATTGGATGGGTTGTTTGGGCCAATACCATCAAGAAATTTGCTAAAATTTTATTGCATAGCATGTTTAAAAATCTATACGATTTGTCAAATCATCTTGTACTCTATCATTTACTAACCATGGCATGCAACCTGACCACACAACTAGAGCAACGTAAGGAAAACATGTTAATCATTCCGCAGATGTAGGTAGCATGTTTAAGGATGATCCTACGTTTAATGAATGGTCAGTATTGCGTGGCTGTGGCGTTGGGAGCCTTCTAATATAACCAAGAGGACGCAAAGGCAAATCAGGAAGGAGTAGTTCTAGCTTAGGTTCAAAAAACCTCTCCTGGAACCTCCCATCCCAACATCATTTCAAGACAAAAAAGGGGTCTCAAGCTCCCATCTATCTCACCATTATCCAATATATCTATAAGGAGGGGGGAGAGGCCCCAATAATCATCATTAGATTCGACTAATTTGTCCATATTTTGGCTCGTCTCATATATTTTTATTTGATTTCCTGAGATCGAAATATTTCGATCTCTGTTGGATTTCATTTATTAATATTAGTAGTATTACGTGGTGGTGATCAAACAAATATGATGGCAAGCCAAAAGAGCAATTCATCCAAGAGGGACGAGTCTATTGTGGTCGCAATCGATAAGGACAAAGGCAGCCAATATGCTCTGAAATGGGCCATTGATAAATTCTCCCTTGGCAAAGGCAAGAGTATCACCCTCCTCAACGTCAAACACAAGCCTAACTCATCATCATGTAAGTTTTTTTATCTTTCTATACAAATTTTACAATGTCAATCTACACAGAAATTATATTTTCGACGATCTGTATAAGGATTGATTGTTAATTGTTTTATTTTTGGGTACATATATGCAGCGGGAAACAATCCCATAGATGATGGGTACCCAGTTGTAAACAAATGTCAAATTGATAGCCAAACCAAGGAATTGTTCCTTCCTTTCCGCTGCTTCTGCACTCGCAAGAATGTAAGATTTTTATTGTGAACTGTTAGGGTTTTCCATCTCAATCCTCATAAATAAAATTAATATATCTTGAATTTATGGAACAGATACAAGTTAATGAAGTTGTAATAGAAGGAGCAGACATAACCAGAGCTCTGTGCGATTACGTTGCGGCGAATTTGATTGAGAACATAGTGCTTGGTGCCTGTTCGAAGAACAGCTTTGTCAGGTACACAATTCATGTTTCGATCTGCAATTCAAACTCATCTGATCTAAATCGTCTATGGTATTTGGGCTTATAAATGCTTTGGCACAGAAGATTCAAGTCACTAGATGTTCCGAACGGGGTAGTAAAAAACGCACCTGAGTTCTGCAATGTCTATATCATCGCAAAGGGGAAGC